TGTTTGTCAGTAGTCAGTGACGTCCCTGATCCGTGTACTGTTCGATAGAGCCCTGTGCTGTGTGTTACGAAGTACCGTTGGGTTTCTGCCGTTCTGTAGACGGGAGGACTGAGCCACCGGCCGAGGTTTGATACTGGTGGAGATAAAGCTGGGACTGGTGCCGAGACCTAAAGGTGTCCTGTAAACAAATGGGTTTTCCAAGTTTGCACTTTGCTGTCCTTTCATAAGCACTTGGGCTTTTCCAAGCACATATCTAGGGTTTTGTTTTTTTTTTTTTTCTCCTGGTTGGCAGACATTTGAAGTGTGTGGGGGAGATGTAAGATCCCTGACATGATGCTTTCTTACATATCAGCTATCTGGTTCCTGCTGTGAACCTCCCAGGTATGTTGTATATCATCTGTTTAATACCTAATTAAGGTTTCTGGGAGTGAAGGAACATCGGGGCAGTCGGAGCGCGCATCCCCCAGCAGTATCTCGTACCACGTGCGTGTTCAGCTCGGGTGAAGTCATGCTTGAGCAGAAAACACCCAGCGAGCTGCTCCCCTTCTCTCGGCACAGCGAACGCGTGCCTTTGTAGCGTGGCGGAGATGCTGCTAGAGGCGTGGAGCCCATTCCCGCAGGATTTGTTCAGCGAGGCTCCCGGTGCCTTCAACAGAAGCCGTGCCTCTGGGGAGCCAAAAACCAGCGTCAGATCAATAGATGCCGTCTTCAGAGGCTTTGGAGAGCTTCCCCCGCACTGCTGCCAAGTGGATAGGGTTCAGAGGGTGTGCTAGTTCATCTTGCTGCCTGAAGATGCTTTCATTTTATGAAAAACGTGTAGCTTTCTTCTTACCTTGTTTTTTTAATATAAACTACTACTCCTGAAATGCAGTGGGATGGTTGAGCGTTGGGCTTTCTCCAGTTGCAGTAGGTTGGGAGCTGTGCAGAATTTTTCTAACGGAGCACGCCGATGCAAAAGTCAAAGTAGATTTGTGATTGCGTGCAGAGCAAAGGAAGGCTTAGGCAAATCTTAAATACACGGGAAATTGTGCTCGTTGAAAAGAAGAAATACCTAGTACCATCACTGCGATTGCTGTTCATTTCTTGTTTGTCTTCTGCGATGCTTTAGTCGGTTTGTCTTGTTTGGTGTTGCCGTTTTGTAGCTAATAAGGAAGACTTGGGGGAGAGGGGGGAAACAGAGCTGCGAAAATGGCTAAAAATGGAGATGAAGGCCAAGGTGCATGCTCTCAGACCTCGGGCGTGCCAGAGGAAAAGTGCAAATACCATCTGAGTCAAGATGCGGTGGTGGGATCTCTAAAAAGCAAGTTGTGTCATGATGCAGCAACTTGTCTGGACAGAGCTCAAGAAGGTCTTGAGTGTAGATAGCCCCTAAAGCATCACCCCCATAGGATCTCTCCGAATTGCTTGGGAATCTGGTATTTTGGGGGTCTTTCTCGCAGGAAAGATGCTTCGTTGTTTGTAAATGGGATGTACTAAGAAAAGCGCCAGGTTTCTGCCTGCGCTGAGACTGGGTGTTGCAGAATTGGTGCTGATTTTGCCAGATCATGTGGCACTTCATCCAAAAATGAATCAGAAGTCAAATGCAGTGCGAAGCGCCACTTCTGCAAACATCTGAGGGTAATGCAAGCTGTTCAGCTCCTGTATGCTTCACGTAGCCCTTGTCTGCCCCAAATAGAGCCAGCGGTACCCCTTTTTTTGTCTGGGAAACTTTCCAGAGCCAGGTTTCTTTACAGCTTGTAGCAGAGATGTTCTGCTGCCATGCTAATTAACAGAAATGCCACCGCTGGTGGCAAAACCTAAACCCCAACGCTAGCCTTGGGTACTGAAACCTGTTTAGAAAACTGCGATAAGGCGTCAGGGAAAGCAGATTGGGCTGTCTTTTTATTTATTTCCTCTGGGAATAACACCAGATGCTTCAGCTCGGCACTGGAGGTGGGATGGAGAGGAGGGAAGGCCGTGTCCCTCTGAAGCCCCCCCGTGTTTAATATGATTTTTCTGCTTCCTTGCTATCTGGGTATCGGCCTGGGAAAGGTTAATCCCATTCCCCCTGTTCAAGGCTGTGCCCGTTGCCCGTTCTGTGGCAATTAGAACAAATGAGCCCCCATTAGCTCGCTACCGTGCCGAAATAGTATTTTTCATTTAATAAAAGAAGCGCCGAGTTGAGAGGGATTTGTCTTCTCTAGCTGCGATGTTTTTTTGGTGCTCGTTTGGTTGCACGGGCAGGAGAAGGCAGGCTGTTCCTTAGGAAGTAGGGCAGGGTGCTGGCTTAAAATAGCAGTGAACGCTGGGCTGCTTGTGATGAAGGGAGCTATTTAGGTAAATCCTGGGGTCTCGGTGGGGGCAGAGCCGCCTGCTAATCTAAAGATACTCCTTGGAGACCTATATTTGTCTGGGATCCTTCCCAGCTTGGCTGGTTTTCCAGGTGTTCCCTGTTCGATCCCTTGTGCTCCTCTGCAAGATTGCGGTGGGATGGTGGGTGTGTTTACTAGACCTACAGCGCGTTAATGTCTTGGATGCTAATGGAATTAGACATCATTAAGCAGCAGGAGCGAGGAAACAGGCTACGTAAAGGCATCAGCATTATCCTATAATGCAAGACTTGGCTCTGAATGGCTCTTGGAGGCTGGTCTGCCAGGCTCACCGTGCCGAAGAGGCATATGCCGATGACACTTGAGAGCTGGGTCAATTGTACTGGGAAAACCCTCCAGGGCAGAGGGAGGGATGGGGAGCAGCTCTGCACCCAGAGCATCTCTGGTTAGGACGGCGTGGACCAGAGGTGAGATAGAGGATGAAGGGTGGGTGCAGAGGGTGCTCAAAAGGGGTGGGAAGATGAAATCTCAGTGCAGCTTTTAAAGATTTGGCTGGCAGGGAGGAGGAGTGTCAGGCTCTCCGGGCTGCCCTCTGACTTCAGACCTCCAGCCTCCGAAGCAGAACCTTGCTGCTGTCCCTCGCTGCAGCATCTCCAGCTATGAAGCCTTAATAGGATCTGGCTGTGTTTCTGTTAGGAGCAGAGGTGGATGTGAGCGTGTTGAGTAACGTGACCTCCTCCAGCCGGGAGCCCCGGTATGCTACTGGGAGAGGGATTGTGGGGTTTAGCTCTCCAGAAGTCTACATCAGTCTGGCTTCTGAGTGCTTCCCCCCTTTAGTGAATACCTTTGCAGTGGTGGTGGCTGTAAGACGTGATTTAAAGCACTTTCCCTGTTCCAAGGTGGATCTGGTGAGAGCGTGCAAGGATCTTCTGCCTCCAGCTCTGGAGTCCCCAACAGCAGAAGGACATGGACCTGTTGGAGTGGGGACAGAAGAGGCCATGGAGATGCTGGGAGGGCTGGAGCCCCTCTGCTGGGAGGATAGGCTGGGAGAGTTGGGGGGGTTCAGCCGGGAGAGGAGAAGGCGAAAAAGGGGAGACCTCAGAGCCCCTTCCAGTACCTAAAGGAGAGCTGGGGAGGGACTCTTGATCAGGGAGGGGAGCGATGGGACGAGGGGGAACGGTTTTACGCTGAAAGAGGGGAGATTTAGATGAGATATTGGGAGGAAATTCTTTGCTGTGCGGGTGGTGATCCCCTGGGGCAGGTTGCCCCGAGAAGCTGTGGCTGCCCCATCCCTGGAGGTGTTCAAGGCCAGGTTGGACGGGGCTTGGAGCAACCTGGGCTGGGGGGAGGTGGCCCTGCCCAGGGCAGGGGGGTTGGAATGAGATGATCTTTAAAGTCCCCTCGAACCCACACCATTCTGTGATCTCTCCTCTGTGTAAGACAAGTAAGTGGTTCAGGGTCAATTTCAGGAAAACAGGGAAAAGTGGTATCAACAGTGATCCCAGTAAGAGCCTTCAGTTCCCTAGCCTGCTCTAGAAAACATTCCCTTTTACCACTTGCTGAGGTGTGGCAAATGTGGTAAAATGGCTTCTTAAATAGTAGTGAGAATATTATCTCAAAGGTGACGCCTTGGATATGCATCGCAAAGGTTTCTGGGAGGAAGATCCTGAACAGAAGCGCAGAGGGCTGGTTTTGCTGGTTCAGCGATAACTGGGGGGCTCCTGTCATCAAGCTCCATCCCTGGCACATGATGGTCTGTGAAGCTGCTCCGAAAGCATTGCTAGAACTTACTTAGCCCAATTTTTGGGCTACCTACTCTTTGTTTTGCAAGAAAGCTGCTCTGGCTGATCTCCAGTGTGGCCGTTGGGAAGATTTTAATTAGTTTGCAGGTCCCTTCAGACTGTCTGCACCTCTGTGTGGTTATAAGATGATATGTGGGTATAAATGTCAAACATTGGAGTAAGCGCATTGCAAGAAATGTTTTAACCGGCGCTATTTTGACCCAGTGCGGATGCAGCTCGGGTTGAAGCATTAAGGGGTGAGATGGGAAGAGAAACTGAGACCCCTGTTGTGGGTGAATTGCAGCGGTGATTGCAAGTGCTCAAATTCTCGTTTATCGATGATGTGACCGCCTTTTGCTGGATGCGGTGAAACAGTCTCTTCTCCAAGGGCCGGCGGGCTGAGCTCTGCGTGCTTCCACCACGGCGCTTGAGCTCCAGCCTGGGCGTTTCTGGGTGTTATTTTGTTCAGTTTTCCCATGTGGAGCCGCCGATTCCTGCCTAAAACATCGTCCCGAGCAAGTACTCAATGTGCAAAATCGTGTCTGCTTAAAGTAGCTTTAAAATTGGAGGCGGCACCCCCCTCCCCTGCCGGTGGTGGGGTCAGATTTACATTCCCCGGCAGGTGGGGGGATTTGCCTTTGACACAAAGACCCCGCTGTTCTTGTATTAATGATCTATTAGTGGACGTGCTGGCAGCTTGCTAACCTTGTGAAACAGGTGGTGAATTTCCCTGCTTGCTGACATCTAGGAATCCCCTCCCGTCTCCTTTGGTGAGCTCACTTTATTTATTTTTTTTTTTTAAGGAGTTGCAGCTGTTTGCTGTAGACCTCTGCCTTTTTCTTTTCCTTTCCTCTTTCTCGCTCAAGCTTAGCAGTGACCCCCTCCAGTCGACCGAGAGACCGTCCCACCGATGGACCTGTTGGGAGGAAGGCGCCAGGTTTGCTGTATATAATATAATACGTATATTTGTAACTGCTGGAAAGTCTATAGAGCTTGAGGGTCTCAAAAGAGATTTTTTTTCCAGGCTGGTGTTGAGGGCTTATGTGCTCTCCTTGACAGTAGCTGGTGAGTTGGCGCTCGGTGATGTAAGGAGCCCGTGTCCCCGGCAGAGGACTTGGCTCCGGACAGATTGTCTCAATGACAATCCCAGGCAAATCCGCATCAGTGCCGGTCATTAAGAGAGGGACCTACGCATAGCAATGTGGGCGCTGGAAACTCGACAGACATTGCAAGCAAGTAGGATTTTCATGTCTGCATTGCTCCCAAAGAGGCTGAGGAAATTCGGTGCCCACCGAGGGCGTTTTTGAGCCAGTCTCTGAGCTGCAGAGTACTTTGGCAAGAGCGAGACCAGCACCGCAGCACAGATTTGGGTCTTGGCTGCGGCCAAAGTTCGGCTTCGGTTTTGGTGGCGGTGCAGGAGCCCCGGCGTGAAGAGCCAATTGCCGCGGGGAAGGCTTTGCGGACGTCTCCCCTGGCTGAGAGCTGGGCGGCTGATGTGCGGTGACAGTCTTAAGTCGCCTCCGTTCTAATTAAATACTCCTGGTTTTAATCTCACCCGGCTCCTTGAGGAGCGTGGAGAGGGAGCAGAGTGCCAGCTCGACCTCCTGGGTCAGCAGCCCGGCAAGGGGCCATCGGAGCTGCCTCTGGGCTTGCCCGCCATGGCAAACCTTGGCGCACAGCTCTGTCGGTGAACCCTCCTTGAGTAGCTGCGGTTTACTTTGGCAAAGGCACCTCTTTTTTTCCCCCCTAGTCTGATAACACTATGTACTGTCCCTGCTAGATGTTTTGCCAGCAGAACAGTTTAATGATAATTACCTTCTATCCTGATAGAAGTTTTTAGGAGTCCGTGAGCACAGTTCAGGTAGCTATAAGGTTTTAGAGGCTGTGCAGCTTCCGAAATGTACAGAGGGACTTCGATTTAGGTAGCTTTTATGATTTTTTTAGCCTCTTGGCGTTGCATTTCATACTTCTGCGGGTCCGTGGGAGCTTTAAGCGTGACCTGGGTTATACTCGTTTGGCACACGTTGTGTTTGTGTTTGCGTTTTGATGCACAGAACTGTCGCGTGCTTTTTTTGGAATTAAATGCACCTGGCTTCTGTGTAGACTGGGTGTGCCAGATTCTAGTATCCGAGAGTCAACGTGGCCTCAAAATTTGGGTGTTACTCCTTGAATGACTGAAAGGTAGTTGATAAGGTAAAGGCAGATTTGCTGATGGGAACGGTTCAGTGGATTAGTCTTTCTCGGTTTCGCTTGACTCTAGTATCATGATGACTGTGTCTCTCCCCCTTCGAAGAAATCATTCAGCTTCATAGAATTTGACGTACAATACAGATATTTTTAGGGTTATTGTGAGGAGATATTCCGGTTGTCCTACAAAAAGGAATCTGGCTCAAGGTAAGGAGCAGAGAGAGCTGTCTGGACCGGTTGCGCACTGGGAGGCTGGCTTGAGCTCCAGCAGCACAAGTTTTGGATAAAACTGGGGCGTTATGAACTGGGGTTGATGCTCCTCTATATTTGAAGGAGCTGCCATTCAGCAGGGATTTACGCTTGCAAAATGGATGAGAAAGATCCCCAAAGCCTTGTGTGCCAGATCCTTTCTGTTAGCGGGGATGGGGCGTGTGATGGGTTTGGTTGATGCCGTGATGGGTTGGCAGGAGCTGTGTGCGGGGCTGGATCCTCCTGCACCTCTTCCAAGGGTGAGAAACAAAACTCTCTTTTTTCCACCCCATTTTGTGAGTGCTTGGAGCCTCTGAAACCCAGGGTCTCTCATTCATTATAAAAGGAAAATTGCAAGAAACACGCAAAAGTTTGGAGGAGGGCAGACAGAAATGGCAACGGTAATCATTCCTGGTGCTCGCATTTATGCCAGGAAGGTGTTTGCTTTCCTTGGTGACTCTTCTGAGACATTAATGTTATTTATGTTAGCACAATCCAACAGCAAGGGGAGAAGTTACTTATTTTCTCAGGTGGTAGGAGGCTGGAGGAGCAATATATTTGCTCCACTTTGTGATGGCTGAGTTTCCACATAGCTTCTGTAGCTGGAGAGAGCAGTAGTTCCCCGACACGACAGGGTCAGGGCGCCTGTGCCAGCGCTGCACCAGACTGAAAAATGACAGAGATTATTTGTCAGGGCTTGGTCCAGGCTTTGAAGAAATCAGTATCAAGCATGCGTCTGTTTTTGCAGACTCTCATGTAAACTTGCCCTGAGGCACACCAGGGGAGAGAAAATTTCATGCAAACCAGCATGGGGATTCTTAAAGCAAAGACATCTCGGCATTTTGTGTCTGGAAATCTGTATCGATCATAATATCAAAAAACAAAGATTATTCCATGGAAATGTAGGTAATTGCTAATAAATATTAGGACTAACAGCGTGTTTTAATTTGAATGTAGCTGCTGAGGTTCAACCCATCCTTGCTTTTGATCTGGCCCCCCTCATCGAGAAGCACTGAAGCAGGTTGGCTGGAGCGTTGCTGTAGGTAATGACGGCATCCATCACTCGCCTTCAAGGGTTTGTTCCTGTTAATGACTGCGAAAGCTCTGCACGATCCTGAAACTTCAGCTTTCTGCAAGCACAAAATGGCATTGCTGTTGCCTTTTGTTGCTGAACTCCTCCAGGTTATTGCCTCTCAGCCGGCTCCGTTTGAGCCCTGGGCTCAACTTTGAATAGACGAATGTAGGTTAGGTGTGAACGGGAATAGGAACGTGATAAAAATAACATTGGGCTATTTGGAAATTAGGAGGGGGAAAAAAAAACCCGCAACCCTGACCTGCTGCTCGTGCTATGCACAGCTCGACACGGGAGGCAGCTTTCTCTCCGCTTTTCAAAGCGGGTACGGATGACTCCCGTGCAGAGAGTTTTCCACTGTGGATGGTTCTACCTTCGACAGCCGGGTCCGGCTTCCTCGGTGGCCGCATCTCTTTTGTGGCAGATGGACGTCTGTCATCCCCAACCGTCAAACCCAGAGCTGAACGTCAGTCAAATAATTCGGATGCCTTCCAGCACAGGTGGAGAGGGTGCAGTAATTGGAAGCTGTTAGTACCTTACGCTGTGTGTCTCGGCATAAGAAAAGACAGCTTTTACTTGTGCTTAGTTTTGTCTGAGCTGTACTGGCTGCTTCAGAATGCCCAAAATGTACTTTTTTTTTCCTCCCCAAAGTGCATCTGTAACCATCTGTTCAACTATCTATCTGTAGCGTCATTTATTTGATGAGGAGCAAGCGAGGAAGGGGGCTATCGCATTCAGTGCCCTTCACATTCCCTCCCACATGGGTGTCGGGAGTTGCAGAGAAATCTCTCTCAAGTTTATTATCGGGCATGTTTAGTTCTGGATGATTTTTTTGGACTCGAAGCCCCCCACGCCCCAGGGTGAGAGGACACCTCCTTTTCGTTAGAAACCCAACCGCTCGGGGAATAAACTGAGTTTTGCTGTAGCTGCCACTTCAGGCCAACGCTTGCTCCTTTTTCAGTAATGAATGTCGCTTTGTTGCTTTGTGCAGTCATCCAAGGGACTCTCAAATATATAAACAATAATTTGAGGATCACTTTGTTTGCTCTTCCGTGGTACTGGCTCTTTCTGGAGGTGTGGATCGGTCAGCCCTGCTCTGTCTGCTGCTGCTGCTGCCTTCAGGGAGGAGAGGACCTTGGCTTAATTTCTGCCACTCTCTTACGAAGATGCACGATAGGTGACATGGTCCAACCTAATCTGTGCTGGAAGAGCCATGATGAAGCTTAAGTACGGATGTAGAAATACAGCGCAGGCTTTTCTCCTGGAGGAATATAGGTTTTTTTGCACTGAGGAGCAAATGAATGGGCTGCGATGCTCTGGTTTTGTAGAGCTGGTGGTAGAGAAGCAGTTTTTTATGAAAAATCTCCCATCCTTAACTATCTGTATCCTCTTGGAGGGCTGCAAATACCCACTTGCTCCTGGACTGGCAAATAAAATCTGCGTTGATTTTGTGGTAAACAGAGTTTTGCACCATAGTCTAGCAAAGATATCGCGATCCTCTTTCTTTATGGGATTCTCTCAAGCACAGCTGACCTTTTAATCCATTCTACACCTCAAAAGTCCACTTGCGTTTGCGTCCTTCTGTTTGTGGCTTGGCATGCAGCGTGTGTCCTGTTGGTGGAGTGGGAATTGTAGTCTTTTCTCAGGAGCGATCTACAGAGTGTGTTTTGATGCCCTTGCGAAATTAGAAGTCCCAGACCTAAAGAGTTCACTGTATAAACTAGACTGGGCGCAACACGCTGTTTTGTATGCAAAGGGAAGATGGCAGGAAGATCGCAGCACTTGCTGCTCGCAATGTTGTGAATGTTTTATCCATCATTTTCGTGAATTATTGTCTGTGGGCAGTGCATGGGAGGAGCTGGCTGTGAGGATGAGCTTAGCACACAGCATCTTTGTGCTACCTAGGCCGTCTGTGACAAGCCACAGCGTTTTTGGGTGAGATAGAGAATTGTTTCCTCATTTTGCAGATAGGAGCAGAAAGCAAATAAGACTCTTCCACCCTTCTCAGTGTCCTGAGGGTGCAAGATTTTGGGTCGGCTTTTGCTCAGAGGGCTGTGCCAGCGCTGTCTGTGTGCCCCGGCTTCCCTCCGCACCCTCCTACCTGCAACAGAATTGAGCAGTGAGAGGGATAAAATTCAGATATTTAACAAAAGTGGGTATTTGTGCATCAGATAACCGCTTGCACCGAGTTGACTAAAGCCCTTACACAAGTTATGCTGGCTAACAGGATTACTTGCTTTGACAACACTAATTACTTAAGTACTCGTCCTCATCCCCTGCTGCAGAGGGGAGACGGGCATTGCTGGGTTTCAGGCTCCGGTGCATGCTTCTCCTGACCCTCTGGTCAGTGGAGGATTTTTTCACGCAGCTCCCACGAAGCTTTGTGAAATTCTCAACAGCTCTGGGTGCGCCGCGGCACGAATGTCTGCTCCAGCGCTGCACCAGAATTGAGAAATCTTTTTTTTTTTTGGGGGGGGGTGGGTTAGCAGGAAGCACAGCGAGTCGAAAACTGGCGATGTGGAGTAATGCCTCACCTAGCGTGAGCTGTGTGCATCCCCGGGACGGTGCTGGTGTCTCTGGCATCTCTGGAGCAGGTTTTTTTTTTTCCCCTCCCTGTGCCGGCTGCAGTTTGGCTGGCAGACAGGCACAGCAGAGGAGAAGCCGGTTCCTTATCGTACCCAGCTCCTTGTGGGAGTGGAGCCGTGCAAAGCCAGCGAGGGAACTTACATAAAAGTTCTTGGCTGCTCGCATCGGCGTAGCCTCATATTTTATCTTGCATAACTCAGCTCGCTAGGGCTACCAAGAAAAGGCAAAGCAGATCATGCCAGGAGCTTTTCATGGATCTCTTCTGAATTGTGTGACGGGCAAGACTGCTCTTGTGGTTGCATGCCATCTCCGTTACGCTCTCTGTCCTGATTTTTGTGGGCTTTTTACTTTGTTAGGGTGGTTCCAGAGTTGGTGGCCGTGTTTGGAGGCCTGGGACGATGGGGAATAAGGAGCTGAACGGTTCCTATTTCTCTGTTCTCTTCCTTATAAATCATTTGACCTTCAAGCGCTCTCTCACTTCCCTTGGAGTCAGATGGCAGATGCTAGGATGACTGCCCAGTTTGTAGAAGTACTTACAAATCATTTTCCAGTCGCTTAATGGCAGGGAGTCCCAAAGCCTCCGTTGCCCCTGGGTCCTTGTCCCGTGCCCACGTTTCCACCCGTCTCCTCTGGGCCTGCCTTGTTCCAGCTCAACCTCTTTGTGTCTGACCCGCAGCTTCCCTCTGCCTCCTTCTGCCGGGAAAACTCCGCCATCCTTACACAGATCCAGAGAGCGCGGGCAGGGAAAATATGTGAAGTTCTGCAAAATACTGAGTTTTTCATCAGTAAGCAGAGGACCTACTTTTTGGTTTTTTTTTTTTTTTTCCTTTTGGCTGTAGGGATGAGCAATATCTGCAGTGAAAAAATGTTGTCCAGCCTGTGTTGGCATTAAGCAGGGGTCTTGCTTAAACCTCTTTAATTGGCGGCTCCGTGGGGAAAGCGCTGCGTGTGCCCTGGACCGTTCAAGGCATGCGGGGCACTTAGCACGTACCCAGCAGAGCAAAACTTCCAAAGGCACCGATGAAAGAGGGCCACCTTATCGCGGGCACTGGCTCCCCTTTCATTATATCCGCCCTTGTTCTCCTCTGTCCTACATTTCACGTTATTTGAAAATTGATGTTCGGCTGCAAAGAATCTCTTGTGCTGCCTCGCTGCTTTTCCTCTCTGCCCCCTGGGTTTCCAAGCTAAATAGCTGCTCTGTTTGCATTTAAAAGAGATCGGTTGCCGTTACTGTTAGTCGCTGGATTGTTTGACCCGCCACTATTTCCCCTCTTCAGTGCAGCCAATCATCCAGTCCAACCATGCTTGATAGTTTGGCGGATGGGCTGCCTTTACTGGGTGATGGGTAAGGACACCAACTTCGTTTGCATATCAGATATTTTTCTTCTCTAGCTGGATTACAGTTAAGTGCAAATCTGTCTTTCACCACATGACATGATCGCATCAGAAGCGGGAGATGTGGAAGCGATGGTACATTATCTAGTGAGTGGGTTTCCTTACACGTGGCGTGTGTTGGAGGTACTGCTTACTCAGAAGCAGGCTGGCACCGGAATCATTAAAATGCCTGTAAAAGGCCCGTTTTTCTTCCAGATTTTGGGGTCGGCTGGGGGATGCCCAGCAGGGATCAGGTGGTCTGCCCGAGGTCTTACAGACAGCGGTGGCTCCAAGACCTTTTCACAGAGTCACAGACCTGCAGGGGTTGGAAGGGACCTCTGGAGATCATCCAGTCCAACCAACCCCCTTCCCAAAGCAGGGTCACCCAGAGCAGGTTGCACAGGACAGCGTCCAGGTGGGTTTTGAATATCTCCAGAGAAGGAGACTCCACCGCCTCTCTGGGCAGCCTGTGCCAGTGCTCTGCCATCCTCAAAGATGTTTTTCCCACGTTCCAGTTTGTGCCCGTTGCTCCTTGTCCTGTCACCGGGCACCACTGAAGAGAGCCTGACCCCATCCCCTTTCCGCTCGCCCTTTAGATATTGATAAGCATTGATGAGATCCCCTCTCAGCCTTCTCTTCTCCAGGCTGAACAGCCCCACGTCCCTCAGCCTTTCCTCAGCAGAAAGATGCTCCGGTCCCCTGAGCATCCCCACAGCCTCCGCTGGACCCTCTCCAGCAGTTCCCAGTCCTTCTTGACCCGGGGAGCCCCGAACTGGACACAGCGCTCCCGATGTGGCCTCCCCAGGGCAGAGCAGCGGGGGCGGATGACCTCCCTCAACCTGCTGGCCACGCTCTTCGGAATGCACCCCAGGAGATCATTGGCCACCAAGGCACATTGCTGGCTCATGGTTTGGCAGAGGTGTGCCCTGTCCCCAGGGCCGGGAGGGCGAGTGGCAGCTCCTGGTGGTACCCACACCAGGGGAAGAGGCTCTTTTTGGGGCTGTGCATGCAGCACGCCAGGGAGCACCCCGAAGCAAAACCCACCCCAGCATCATCTCCTCATCCATCTGGCGGGATCGCTCCCTCCACAGGGCTTGGCCGAAATCGCTTTGGTCCTGCTTGTGACCTGGGGGTGTTGGAAGGGCTGAACCCAGAAGGTTGAGGAAGTGCTGGTTATTCGAGATGTTTTTAGAAGGAAACAGACTCTGGGAGCTGAGACCATCTCTGTGCTGCATCGCGGCTGTAAGATGCAAATTGCTCTGCGGTGCGCGGGAGCTGCCGGCAGCGAGGCCACACGTTTTGGGGCTGTTTGACAGGATTTTACTTCCAGTTTTTCTCTTTTACCCAAACATCCAGGCCTCCTTCCTGGAACTTATTTTAAAATCAAGGCACTATATAGCCTTTAAGTATTATGCGGGGGTCCTGTGTTCTCCATCTTTTTTAAATTAGCCAGGCCCAGGAGAAGGTAGATGAGGAAGTCGGATGGTTCTCACTTATAACTATGATTTTTGTTTCATATGCTTCCTTTCTGCTAGAGGTCACCTTCTCACAAATAATACAATTGCCTAGCATGAAAATAGTAGTAACGGTTTTGATGGGGTGTTTTTCTATCTAGATTTAAAAAACAGGGAATGCGTTGCGGAGATGAGACCTTAACTTGCCTTAAATGTTGGATTCCATCAGGATTTACCAATTGCTTAGCTGGGAGTTACGCTTTTTGAAGTGGCCCGTACTGAGAGGTGCGAGGCTGTTGCCCGGTGAAGGTGAAGGCAGCTTCTGCTTTGTGGGTACGCGCGGTTTCCTGATAAGCGAGAATTTTACATATTCGTCCTCCTACCTTAATTGCTAGTTCCTGGGAACCGGTGTGGTTTTCTTCTGCTTTTGCTGATATTTGCATGCAATCCTGTTTCAGTGCAACATTCTGATGACAACTACCCCCACCGAATTGGGAGACGGCTTCGGTGCCTGCGTTTTCTGCGGATGCATATGGCATTTAGTCTGCATACAGTGGCTTTTTGAACATGCTGAGGGGTGTATTCAGTTGCTCTGGCAGCATAGCTTTTCTTCTTTCAGTATTTGAGAGCATAATTTCAGTGAAAGTATGTTTCTGAGTGTATGCTCGTCTTGAGGCTTG